CCTCATGTGGTATTTATAGTTTAAAATTAAAAAAATTAAAGGGGCGCCTGGGTGGTTCAGTCAGTTAAGCATCCGACTCTTGATTTTGGCTCAGGTCATGATCTCAGGGTGTGAGATCAAGCCCCCTGTAAAGCTCTGTGCTCAGTGTGGAGCCTGCTTGTCCCTCTCCCTCTGTTCCTCCCCCGCTCACTCTATCTCTAAAATAAATAAAATATTTTTTAAAAATTAAATTAATTAAAATAAAACATAATTTAAAATTCGGTTCCTCAGGCACACTAACCACATTCCAACATCTCAACAGCCACAAGTGACCGGCGGCTATCACACTGAACTGCGTTAGATACAGAACATTTCCATCATCACAGAAAGTTTTACTAAACAGCACTGTTTGTACTATGTGCTTTCTAAATTCCTTTTTCCTTTAACATATCCTCTTAATGAAGGATCCATAATAATTTCACTCCACTCTTCACTAGATTTCCCAAAATGCCAAGAAATAAACTTGGAAGCCTATTCATCCAAAGTTTTAAAATGTGTGTGTTAGACCTTTACCACCTAAACTGAGAGACTATAAGTGTATGGTCAGTAGTCTAAGATGGTCTATTCTCTTAAGATACACATCAAGCCTGTATCAGATTCACAAGCAGACAAGCATTCTGGAACACACAAGCTTCTGGGTGACAGTGGCATGGGAACAACAGAAGAGAAATATGTCAAAAATGGAAGCAAACAAATCTGACTAAATCCTTCTTACAAACTATTTGAGTGGTATACCGTATTTCTTGGAAATCTTTCAATGACAGTACAGAGGGACCGTCTTGGCTGCAAACCCCAGAGGAAAGTCCTCAGAAATTGGTGAAGTCTATTAAAAGGCTTATACAGGGACAAAGATATCTTCTGGCTCCATGTCATCTTTACCCTAATGGTTTTTGCAAACAAATAATGACAAGGCTTGGGAGCTAAAATGAAAGACCAAATGTACTACATATCATTTGTCTGTTAAAGTACGAAATTTGTCCTAAAGACTATGACAATGATTGATGAATAAATCTAAGAATCTCCCTAAAAAACTGATCATTTTCTTTGCTAGGCAGAAGACTCCCAACCAGTTTTAAATGTGTCTGATGAGCAATCTGTACTGATCCAGCAAAGACAAGCTTTTTAGGTCATACAATCACCTTGCTTTTCATCTCGAGGCAGAGCTAGAAGTACACATCTGTTTCAAAAACATAAAGCCAACTCTCAAGAGGCAAATTTTTGGAGAACACCCAAAAATATGGGACTTGAGAATTAGTTTTGCAGCGCATTAGATTAACTGACTGAAGTGTGAATACAGCATCTGGCTCCGAAGTGAATGCTTTCATGAATGCCAAGTCTAGATAGATCTTTCAACTACTACAGTATGGACTGTGATGAGATCTCTCCCTCCTTTGAAGTCATCACATTTATTGTCTGCTTTAGTCATATGACACTTAATCAAATACTGCATCACATACCATCCCTTGTGTTGTAGAGCTTTTTAACTCTTTGATGTGTGTATACAGACTTCAACTGCACTGTAAGCTCTTGGACTGTATATTACAATTCTTTTATTTATCCTAACATCTAGCATACAGCCCTGCACACAGTAAGCACTCAAGTACTTGGTGGATGGAGATGGGGAGAAAAGGACTATAGAAGAAGAGAAAAATCATGCAATGACCAGACAGAAAACCACCTTATTATGTGTTTATCTGACTCTAAAATTAGGCTGGAATTGTTAATGGACAAATTTTCTTCCGGCAAACAAACAAACAAACAAAACAACAACAAAACTTCAGAACCAAACAATCTGTGGAGTAAGGCAGTCTCAAACACATCCATTTCATCCAAATGACTGAACAAATACCACTAACAGGACATGTCAGACTTCAAAATGAAAACCTTTATAGCAATAAACAAATGTTTCTATGTGACTTTAAGCTAAAATCCTGTGCACTTAGAAATATACATATTCACTTGGATAGTATTCAAAAATAGTACTCAGGTAGCAAAATCCAAGAGTTATTAATTTCAAAATTTACAATTTTAATAGACAAGAAATCTAAAACACAGTCCAGAAAAGGGAAGCGATGTGCTTTCAGTTTATGGCCAGGGAAGAGGCTGGGCTAGCACTCAGCTTTCTGATCCCTTCTTAGGATGACATGGAAGGCTGCTACATCAACATGCTGAAACTAGGATTAAAGGAAAGTTTCATGGAAAAACCGAAGTTACTGTATATCTCTTCCCTCCTTTCAAACTTAGAAGACATTTACGGAGTTTTCATAATTGAGTTTTAATAAATATTCCAAATACATTCAGCCAGAAATTTAATTGACACACATGATGTTCCTTCCCTGTGAGCCTCTGACAGGAGTTCACATTTAAGTGAGCACATTAGTCTAAGAAGTTCCCCATGATCCAGATCTTCCTGCCCTACTTCTTTTCCATTTTATAAAATCTAAAGCAAAAAAGATTGTTGAATTTCTTTTTGCAGTTCTCATCAAGACAATAAAGTAAAAGAAGAGATTTCTGAATTATTCATTCTAAACACACATTTCTGAAAGTGGGATCTAAAGATTTGTTCCCAGGGATTTGAGATTCTCTGACGATATTTTTAAGGTTGTGTTTTTATTTTCATAAATATGTTCTGGATTACTTGGACATCCACCTCATAACTGTGTAAGGTTATGATTTCAGTGACAACATTTGCTTCTATGCTTAAGATTACATTCACAGTAAGTCTTCTGGAGGGACAGAGCTTAGTTTTCAATGCAAAATTTTTCAAACGGGGTTTCAAAGTCTATGTCTTTGGATTAAAGTTTAAGTAACACTGATCTAGATTTCTATACGTCCCAAAATTCTCCTTCTAGACTTTACTTGGTAAGTTTAATAAATATGTATCCAGTGTCTATAATGTGCTAGGCACTGGAGATACAGTAGTGAATAAGAGAAACCAGAACTTGCCTTATGGAGCTTGTAATTCTGGCAGGAAAGGCCAACATTCTTTAATGAAGAAATCTGGTTCCTTGGTTGAAATCACTTAACAAGTAGAGAAAAAACACACACACAGTTATCTGTCCTCCTTGTCAACTACAACTGTTGATTAGAGAATCCATTATCATCAACATATTTTCAAAATATTCTAAGAGCTTGAGGTCAATTTGGTCTTATCTGTTTGAAAACAGGTAAACTGATCCTCTTTTAAAAATTCTTCAGAGAAGCTCAATCTCCTTTCCTTGCTTTAGGTTATGCTTCTCATAACCAAACTAGATATTTCCTGGTTATTGAGAAACAATTTTATGGAGAGGTTTTAGTCAGTGAGGTTTTGATAGCACAACACTTCTTCCGTTTGATTGGGAAATTTCTACGGACAAAAATCGATCAAGCTAGAACAGTTGCAAATGCGTAAGTACACTTCTAAGTCAAGAAAAGTTGATGGGTGGATGCTAACCAGCACAGTGCAAAAACTCTCTCAGAAATTTAAACTTGATGACCTTGAAATTGAATTTGTAACTCTATTCTTTAATAGAAAAATGAATGAGATTCAGGAAACAATGGCTACTATTAGGTACTACTTTAGTCCTGTCTATAAACAATTATTTTAATGACACCTTGTTAGGCTGGGGGGCGGGGGAAGAGGGGGCATAAGAAGACCTAAAGGTACATGTTATCAAGTACACCAATTCAATTTTGTAATTGAGAAATGGATGCCAAATTCCTTGAACGATAGTTAATAAGTTTGAAACATCTCAGTTTCTGACCCAAATTTTCTAACCAGCATTGCCCCAGGATGAACACTACATGAGCCAAGATCTCCCCAACTTTGGAGCAATCTCTGACTTTAGTGTGATTGCGATTGTTTTCATGGGTTTTTACCCCCAAAGAGCTCTGGAAAAAGTGTCAACCCTATCAGAAAAGAAGTACACACATAACTATGACTTTTACCAAGAAGTAGTTCATTGAAAACTGGGAGAAAGAATCCTAACAGAATCTTTTAGCAGACACTATGATGAGGGAACTAGCTTACAACTCTCTAGCTGCCAATAATACAAACCTGAAAGCCTGGATTAAAAGTCAATAGAAACAGCGAAAAGATAACCTGGCTGGTGATAAAAATTTCTAGCCCAAATTAAGCCTCTGTAGTTAAACATTCAGATACACAACGATAGCCAGATGCACACTGAGAGCTTTACTTGTCACCACATCCGGCACAATAGCTAATTAAGCAAGGAAAAACTGGCTTTCATGAAGGAGCTTAGTCAGAAACATAGCAGGGCCTCAAGCCAATCTAACTCTGGAGGCATCGACACTCCACAAATTCCACACCAACTCTCAGCCAGGCTAACTTTAATTGCGCCCCTAACTCCACGATAACAATACACTAGCTGACTGCAATCAAGCCTTTCCAATTCTCCAAAGCATCTCAAGTCTTACTCGTCCTTCGAAGCTCAAGTTAGAAGCAAGGCGACTGACACAAAGGCCAGTCGTCCAAAGGCGCTTTTTGCATGGCTCTGCACTGCCACTCATTTGAAAATTCCTAAACTGGGGGCTCACCGGCCCCCCTCTTCTACCCTTCCTCAAACCCGCCCCGGCTGGTAAGCCTCTGCCTGGGAGCCCCTCAGCCTGGAACAAAGCGAGGGGCCCCGGCGGTGGGGGCGAGAGGCGCCAGCGACACGGGGAATGCCGCACAGCGCACAATGAGAAACTACCAACTTCAGAGCGCAGGAACATCCTCAATTGGCAAGAAAGAGGGGCGGCGGCAGGCACGCCCAACTTCAAACTCAGGAAACCTACGGGCTGGCGGCCATCTGGAAAAAAGCCCCCTTCCCAGGGAGAGAAGAAAAAGGCGAAGGAGATGCGAATCACCCACCGGGCCCCGGAGGGGAGCCCTGCGCTCAGACCGGCCCCCGCCCCCGAGGCCCGCTTCCCCGCCTTCTCTCTGCCTCTGGTTCGCTGCCCCAGGCCGGGCGGCCGGTTACCTTGATGCGCTCCCGGCACTGGGACGGGGTCCGTTCGTAGCCCAGCTCGGCCAGGGCCCGGGACACGCGCTCGTACATGGCTGGCCCAGGGGCCTTGCTGCCGAACACCGTGCCGGCTCCCTCCAGCTGCTGGTACCGCGCTTCCACCAGCCGCTCGTTGCCCCACACTGCGATGAGCGCGTTCGTCTCGGCCGGCGTCCACGACATGCCCCGGCAGGCGGCGGCGGCGGCTGCCGCAGCCCCGCCACCGCCGCCACCAGGGGAGAAGGAGACCGAGGACGAGGCGGCGCTGCGGCCCCCCAGCCCCAGCCCGAGACCCCCGGACGCCGCTGCCCCCGAGCCCGCCGCACTGCCCGGCCCGAGCGGAGAGGCACCCCGAGGCGTGGAAGGGTCGGACAGCGATGGATTTCCGTCGCTCAGGCCACCAGGAGAAGCCGGAGAGAGCACCTCCATCTTCGGGATTTTTAGCGGCGAGTTGGCGGGCAGCTCCGAGCCACAGGGCGCAGCCATCTTCCAAGCGGCCGCCGCTACACCGCCCGGAAGTGACGCGCCCGCGCATCCGGCCGCGGCGGTCTCCGGGGCTGCCCTCGGGCCTGGCTCGGCTGTGGGCGGGCGGCTGCGGGCTCCTGCTGCCGAGCGGAGGCTGTCCGCTCCCCCCGGCCTCTCTCCGCGAGCTCTACCGCGCCGCCCGCTCCTCTCCCGGGGCGAGGGGCGGGAGTGAGGCGCGCCGAAGCCCCGAGCTGAAGAGAAGGGTGGGGGCATGAGGGCGCTGGTGTGAGGAACAGATTGGAGCCTTCCCACTTCCTCTCCAATCTCAGCCCCCGGGAGGAGGGGTGAGGCCCGCGAGGGGGCCCGGAGTTAAGGAGGACTTGACCATTTCGCTCGCTGGCTCTCCTCTCTCCCTCCGCTCTGCCTCTCCTCCCTCCAAGCTGGCCTCGGGGTGCAGAGGCTGACGTCCAGGGCGGAGACTGGGGAAACCTGCGGAGAGTATATCCAGGAAGCACCAAGGCTGAAGGAATGCATTTCTGGGGGAGGCTTTAAAAAAGCAGTTTTGGACCGGCGTTAGAGTTGGTGCTCGGTGGCTTTTCAAGAAACCCATGCGCATTATTTGAAGAACAGCAACTTTGACTCAGTTAAGATCTATTTTCCAGTTAGCCCGGGTAGCTGTGACGATTTGTAGAAAAATTAGATGTCTATCGCGTTTGTAGTTTGTAGCTTAAATATGTTAGGAACCCTGGAGCCCGGCAGGAAAGTTACTTTCCAGTACCATTCCCCATCCTCCTAATTTGAAAGTTGCATCATTTTCCTACTTTCCTACTGTATTTCACACTCTGGAGTGTAAGGAGATTGAAAAGAAGACTGTCAATTATGGCAACTCTTGTGACCTCTAATAGTTAGTGTATTAACCGTTCCTGAATACTCCTCAAAGTGCTGCAAATCCAGTACGTAGCTGAAAGGTATTTCAATACTCTTCAAAGCCAAAAATCGAATTGTTTATCTTGGATCCTTAACTTAAAAGAGCCTCAGCGGATCTTTTTTTCAAATATGAATAAGCCATCCGATATTTTTTTCAAATATACATTAAGTTTTTTGTTTGTTTTTTTAAATAGAGCTGAAGTCACCTACATTTAAACTCCGAATCACTCGAGAGAGAGTGATATGGTTAGGAAGCCAAAGGTAATAAGCAATAGGGATGAAGTAGAGGAGATAACTGTGTATTTCACATTACAATGCCACCATAGTTTTAAGTTACCAGTATGAGGTAACATAAAGACGTTCCGCTATTTATGCTACCTTTCCTCTTTTTCTAAGACAAAGATATAGTCAAGCACCATGGTTAAGAGTATGGATTCTAGGGGTGCCCGGATGGCTCAGCCGGTTAAGTGGCTGCCTCCCACTCAGGTCATGGCCCCAGAGTCCTGGATGGAGTCCTGGGATGGCGCCCCACATCCGGCTCCCTGCTCAGCGGGGAGTCTGCTTCTCCGTCTCCCTCTGCCCCTCCCTGCCTCTCATGCTCTCTCTCTCTCAAATAAATAAATAAAATCTTACAAAAAAAAAAAAAAGAGTATGGATTCTAGAGTCAATTCCTGGCTTCAAATTCCAGTCCTGCAACCTCAGCCAATTCACTTAAGCAATCTCTTAGTACCTTGGTTTCTTTGTTTATAAAATGAGGATGACCTCACAGCACTGTTGTGAGTAGATGAGTTAATACAGGTAAAGCCTTAGAATGGTGCCTGGTTCATAGTAAACAGTGTATGAGCTATTACCTCACTTTGGCTAGCAGTAGTCCCCTCTTCTGTGCGGTTTCACTTTCAGGGTTTCAATTACCAGTGCCAAAGGCAGTCGGGAAAGCAAATCATCCTCCTGATCTATGGTCAGAAGGTCAGTAGTAGCCTAAGGCTGCCTCACCATGCCTCTGTCATTCACCTCTCATCATTTCATCATGTAGGCAATTTATCATCTCACATCATCGCAAGAAGGGTGAGGACAGTACAATCAGAGAGAGGAACCAGATTCGCATAAGTTTTATTACAACACATTGTTATAATTGGTCCATTACTGTCATTAATCTCTAACCATGCCTAATTTATAAATTAAACTTTATCATAGCTATGTATGCTTAGGAAAGAGCATAGTACATGTAGAGTTGGGGACTGTGTGCACTCTCAGGCATCCACAGGGGGTCTTGGAACAATCCCCTATGGATAAGGAGGACTACTGTACTTTAGTTAATAGAGAATCTTCCCTTTGTCGCTTTCTCTCCAACACTAGTTTTCAGTGTCTTCATTGTCAATTCTTTTCAGGGCTCTGGTGGCATCTCAAACACCTGTCAAAGCAAAATTCACTCTCATTCAGCCCAACAGTAAGTTTTTTAATGTCATAAGGTATTTAATGTGTATGAAAAGGAGAATCATGCCTAGATCAGAGACTCCGAAGAGTTTTAAAATCACTGCTTATCCTGCTCTCATTTTCCCACAAGCCTGAAAAAGATCCTCCCTCCTTCTATTGTTAATTCTGGATGATTCTCAAATCAACTCTGACTCATGCAGGAAGCCTTCCTAGATAAAGTGGGTTGACTGGGAAGTCTCCCTTCCCACAAACTTCTGTTTCTAGACATTATTTCTCTATACCCCCCCCTTTATTCCCACACTCATCAGTCTATCCAATGAGAAAAAGTATCAAAAATAAAATTGCCAGTAACATCCTGAGGTTAAAATTAATTCAATAACATAAAAGCTATTAATATGTACTACACAATGTGGAGGCATTGCTATATAGGCAACCTGGATCATGTGCTTGTCATGTTGCCTTACCATGGCTAATCCTGGATTCCAGGTGTTGTGTGATGGGCTTGTTCAAGCCTTCATAGTTCAATCAGAATGTATGGAATGTGTTTGAAGCAATGTACTGTACCTTTTATTGTGGATTCAATTGATAGCATAAGTAGATAAAAACCTATTTGAGAGATAATGTATGCAACGTCTCAAAATAATGTACAAACGAATACAGAACAATACACGGTAATCGACCTATAAACTGTCAGCTCCTCCCTTTAATTGTATCCCTCCCCTTTTCCACTTCTTCCACAATCTGTGCCCAGGATTTGTTTCTCAGCTTTTCTTTCTTTTTTTTCATGGATTATCTCCCCCATGCTGTATCTTTTATCCCCATGACTTATTCATCCCATAACTGGAAGCCTGTATCTTCCACTCCCCTTCACCTGTTTTGCCCATTTCTCTATCTCCCTCCCCTCTGGCAACCATCACTTCATTTTCTGTATTTACAAGTCTGTTTCTGCTTTTTGTTTGTTTATTTGCTTTTTTTTTTGGATTCTTCATATACATGAAATCATATGCCATTTGTCTTTCTCCGTCTGACTTAATTTCACTTAGCATAATACTGTCTAGGTCCATCCATGTTGTCACAAAGGGCAAGATCTCATCTTTTTTTTTGGCTGTGTAATATCCATTGTGTATATTTAACTCATGTTTACACAATCACTAATTGACGATGGACACTCAGGTTGCTTCCATATCTTGGCTATTGTAAATAATGCTTCAATAAACATAAGGGTGTATATATCTTTTCAAATTAGTGTTTTCA